GTTTATTAGTTACTTTACAACTCTGTATATTTAACCTAATGATTTCATTTTGGATTTTTTGATATTTATGCCTTAGTCTTTGGAACAAACCTGCATTCACAAAACACACAGCAGCATTAATATTTCCTGCATATAACCAGAATTTGACTGAGACTAGTTTCATCATTACAACAGAGTAAAAAAAGAACAAACATGTGCTTTTGTATCAAATTGTTTTATTGGGCACTTTTCAGCTCTTCCACACTCTAAACATGTTTCCATCACTTCYCACACGTCTGACCAACCAGTCAAGACAAACAAAACCCCTGAAGCCGTAATATACAGTACATGAAAATAAAAATGTCAGATTTTCCTTTTATTACTTGCAGAATAAGAAGTGTTAATAAATGCAAAATGCAAACGGGTCACAGATGAGACAGAAGCTGAAGATCTAAGACTGAAAATGGTTTCTGCWGTAATTGTAAGCAGAATATTTATTTCTTGTTGAAGTTGCTGAAAAGAAAAAGTCACATTTTTACAAACAACATTTACTGACAGCGACGAATGTTTCTGACGCTAACTCAACAGTTCCTCCTCCTCCAGGTTCACTCTCTACCTCTCAAGTTTAACTTTATTTACATTGGACAAAACCATGGAGGTTTTCTAGGAACTTGATGTACTCTTGATGCTCGATGGCGGTGCTAAGCTCACAGAGCTCGTCGGCGAAGGTGTTGTCGATGCCGCGGTCGGCCAGGAAGTCCATCAGGTGGTCGTACAGCGTCTGAGGAGAGAAACAGAGTTCCTCAGCTGATCTGTAGTTTAATCCGTTAAAAAATAAATGAAGTCTGGTTTCAGCTCGTACCCAGTCCAGAGAGTCTGTGTTGAGTGTGTAGCTGCCCTCCTTCCAATCGATGTCACCCTCTGGCTGGAAACTGACCTCCCGGATGCTGAAGATGTCGCTTTCCTCCTCATCTTCACCRTGACCAATCTGCAACACCCAGCAGACTGTTGAGACCCTCAAACCTCTGAAAGCTGAGTCAGCTTGATGCTCACATTCAGTTTTTATTTTATTCTTACCTCATCTTCAGGAAACTGGCAGTCAAACACAAGGGAATGTTTAGCAGCTTGTTTGGTGACTTCAACAACAAAGTTGGGTGTTGATATAATGTCTGGCTGTGAAGGGAATAATCAACTTCAGCCAGGTTTACAGCTTTAAAATTCATTCAGGTCAGCAGCAGAGTTTGATCCTGTCAGACTCACCTCCTCCTCAGCAGATTTCTCCGGCTGTCCGTGCTCCGCATCCTCCTCGAAGGTCGAAGGAATACTGCTGTTCACGTTGAACGTGACTGTGACTCTGAAACACACAAACTGCCAGGTGAGCTCACGGTGTGCGAAGAGGTGGGGAGTACATCTTCAGCTGAGAGAAGTTACTGTAAAATTACAGGAGCATTTAAACATTCTGACAAAGTAGATACATATTTAGAAGAATGTTTAAGCTTTGTTTACTGGCTGCAAAAATAAGTACGCAAAAGTGACAATAAATATGCAGGATGTTATTGTTGTAATTTGTACTTGTTGCAGTAAAAATGTGTTTTCTCATTTCTTCTTTCCTGAACACTGAGTTTGTAACAGCTCAAGTTTTGACTGAAGTTTTGTTTGTGTATAAACGCAAAAGATAAACAGTGCTAACATCATTAGCATCTATGCTAACTTAAATAATTGTTGGTCAGCAGCCTGTGATTAACAGGGCTWTGACATGTGTGCCTGTAGGCATGAAAATATGTAATGGTGTTATGTAAAAAATAGTTCATAAACTCATCACAAATTTTGAATGTCATTAAATTGAATTGTCCTCCTACAGGCTCCTTACTACAACAGATAACTGCAGGATCCTTACTTGTCCCCAGAAACATGCTTTGTGAGTTTGGCCTCTGTGCCGTTCTGCTCCAGCTCCCATCCTCCAGACATCTTGGGGAGGGTTTTGTTCTTCTGGATCTTCTTCTCTTCTTTGATTTCATCAGACAGGAAGTCGCCAAACGCTGTGTCGCCTGTTCAAAAATGTGACACATTAAAACAACAGCAGGGCAACTTAAAAACATATCCAACAAGTCGAAAAGAACATGACGGCTTGCTTTATTAGAGAAAAATTAAACAGTGCTGGCAATTAAATGAATTATCAAACTGCATTCATTTTAAATCGCTAGAGAACACAAGTTTATACTTTTGGTATCATCACAAGTTAACACAAAACATAAAGTAGAGCATTAACCATTTAAATCTATACATTTTTGTGCCATTTCCCTAAAACGACATTATCATTTTGAATTCAAATGTCTATTATTCTTCCAAAAATGATGCTGTTGCATGTTARTTTCACTAAAAGCTATAAAAGCATAAATTTTATTGTTTATAAGTCCTGTAAAAAACACAATGCTTAAGTGTTTCAGTCTTCTGTGCAGCTAACCGGTGGCTAACAGCTAGCTTGTCTTTAAGTACAGCTAACCTTGTGTGTGCAGTCCTCCACATCCACATCCACACGACACCGACGGAAACAACTCCTTCGAGCTGAACAGCTTGGGTCTATACCCCGAAGCAGCTCCGCTGTTGTTCAGCATCCATAGGGAGCGGGTGAACGGCCGGGCCGTGGCCGAGCACGAGCTGCTCAGCGTCGGACATCTGAGCGGCAGGACCCGCGCGGAGACTCCCGGAGCGGCTGAGGAAAGACGAACAGCGGCTCCCGCCGCACGGACAACTGACTTCAACATTATCGTGTAAAATTACAAACTTCTGACAAAAGAATAAATTAATTCAGCTCCGAGGGAAACCCCTGACTGCCCTTCAACTAAGTGATGCTTCTAGAAGACGCAGGAAGCACGTGTGGAAGGACACTCTGACCTAGCGTCACTATGACCTCTGCACCGGAAGTAATACTTAAAAAACTAAAKAAATATTTTACTATCTACTTAAAACATTTATAAAATATATCAAGTTGTACGATATAAATAAGGCATACGTTTCTATTAATTTATATTAAACAATTAACAAAATAAAAAAATAATGCGATTATTTATTTAAAGAGCGCCCTCTTGTGGCCACGACTAAAATAGGTCGTTAGCGCCGCTAAATGCAAATCTGAACAATTTCATAAATGTTTTCCATTTAAAAAGTTTATATATGTGTCTGGCGTGCTTTACAAGTAAAGATGTGGTGCATTTTCTTTGATGAACTAGCTCATCTGACCAACTTATTTCTTTAAAAGGTTTGGAAACAGTCTGTTATCTATTTTTRTATTGCTGCACAAAAATATTGCTCTCAACAATAAATCAAAGGTTAAATCAATGTAATATCACAAAAATACAAGCCTTTAGTGACTAATAAACACAAATCTGTTTCTATAAACTAAACTTTAAAGATAATTTAAATAAGAATATTTTATCAGTACTCAGTTCTGGAGAACTGGCAGATTTTCACCAGTTGCATCATAAATACCTCTTGCTGCCAGAAGATGGCGCTGTTCGGAGGAGACCTTTTTTTAAATTTACCACCAAAAGGTGAAATCTGAATGTTTTGCTCAGGTCTGTGTTTTTGTTTCTTTTAGCAAAATATCCCATCAACTAATAAAACTTTTGATAAAATTTGCAAAAAAGTAATTATTGGATGTACATCTACCGCTTAACTTTTGGAGTCAATCCAGTTCACAAACAACTCTGTTGTGAAATCATCACCTGCCAATCCAAACCTGGCTACAACTCAGTTTTTAAACATATTGAGCTAAAACTTGTCACACACTCTTGAGCGCCATACATCAGCAAAATGTTGCCATATTGCACAAACTTCAACTGTGCTCCTTTTTCTCTGATCTGGTGGAGATTTGAATTACTTCAAAGAACGCTGAACGTTTAACTAAACATTTGCTTGGACAGGTGGAAGTTTTATTAAAATTTTTAACACGTATGGTTGTGAAAAACTAACCAAAAGCTTGAAACACACAATATAATTTGAAGTTTCAACTTTACTTCATGCAGGCTGAATTTCTGTAAAAATGAAGTCTTCAAGCACCTCACATGTATTTAAGTTTGTTTACAAAGTTACGAATATGTCCTGGGTGTTACTGTGAGTCTCCTTCCTTCAGATTAACAGGATTAACAGATTTAGATGACAGCCTGAAGTGTTTTTTTAATCTGATGCCATGTAGCAAAGATTGATGTGTCCATGCAGGTGTGTTTAAGTGTTTCTCAAATTAACTTCACTTTTCATGGAGCAGCAGCTCATTTCACTGCTTGATAAAAAAAAAGTGCTTATTCTATTTTACGGTCGTCTGTCAACTGTTTTATAAATCAGGTTAAAACTTCATAGTGCATGTGTGACCCACACACACACAAAGCACCAGAACTGATGATGTTCTGGTATTTTTGGATTGGTCATTAAAAATTAAATAATTTTGATTGGAAAAAAATGTATCTGTTCTTGGTAAACTGTTTATGAAACAAACCATGTTCACATGCAGGATGTCATATATGTACTAATCTCTCCAGGATTTTAGGTACTTTATAAATATAGAAATGATCAAAAGAAATGGTTTTGAGTAGAAGCTGAGTTACTAAACATACATATGGGGCTGAAGGACTCCGAGTCAGACATCTGTGCCAAATTTCATCAAGATCAGAGGCCGATGGCATGAAAAGAACATAAGGGATTAAGCTGGGATTTCAATATAAACCTGAATTATTTAAGCTTTGAATTGGTTGCAGTTCTGGTCCTGCGGTGCTCGGTCATTTCAGTCAGGTGTGTCGAAGCAGAAAACCGTCTACAACATGCAGGCCGGTGGGTGGTGAGGATCAGGGCTGAAGATGAACTGTTTGTCATTAAAACTCAAAACTACTGAACGAGAAAATTAACCTAAAATAAAAAACAGAAAAGACTTCAGAGGTTGATGTATTTGTCTCATTTGCCAACCTTAGTGATAAACATTCTTCAGACTGCGTACATGTCTTTGTGGACATATGTGACCCATCGCATCGAAACGAGGATTAAAAGTGGGATATGGAGAAATAGGCAAATGGTTTTGATTAAAACGTTCACAAAAATTGCATTTTGTCAAAATAAAGCATTATCAATGTATCATTTGAATGAACTCTCTGAAATATAATCATAAAACAAATTTTTGACGCATTTTTTTGAGCAGTAGAAACAAAAAACCTGATTTTGAGGAAAAACGCTGTTAGCTAGCAAAGTTTTGTTTCTTTTCAGCTGGAAAATCTCAATATTCAAATATAATTTGAGGTTTCCTCTTTAAAAGGACATCAAAAACTCCTCATTAAAAGGACATAAAATCAGGATTCAGACCAAATATTTATGTATTATTGTAACAAACAAGACAAATTAAGTCTTATTTTTGAATTTACTTATATCAGAATGATCCAGGTATCAAAATGTAGCTTTTAAAGCCAAGAATCTGAAAATGTAATTAGGTCATTTTGACTAAATTTGACTTAATCCTCATTTTGATTTGATGGGTCGCATATTTTGACAATATACTATGCTTATGAGGACATTCTGCCATTGAGTGGACATCTGTCTGCTTCACACAACAACAAAAAAAAAAAAATTGAGGTTCAGGTAAGGTAGGATTTGGGTTTAGGTTAGGATCAGGCTGGAGAAATGAATAAAATTGATGCAAGGTCCCCATAAAGATAGCTGTACTAGACTGTGCAGACCTGAGTGACTGGCTCATCTCCATGTGTGCGTGTGTGTGTGTGTGTGTGTGTGTGTGTGTGTGTGTTCAGCCGGAGACAGAAGGAATGCTTTCTGACATGCATGTAGGTTGGTGTGTGCACAGGCTGTCGCAGGTAGACAGGTGTAAAAGTATAAATGTGACAAATATGTTTTTTTTTTTTTTTAAGAAATCTTTTTCTGCTCATGAAAACCCGTTTAGAGCCACGCCGTATAAACCTAAATTTCACTTCTAGAAAGCCAAGTCTCTGAAGGCAAACAAAGACTGCTGCAATGCTGTTTGCTTTTTGGTTTCACAGTTCAAAATAAAATCTGAAAAATGTAGATTTCTGCTCCTCTGGTGAAGTAATCTGTGCTGCAAAGGTGCGTGCAAACCTTCAAGAAGCTGAAAGTGTTTCTCTCCTATAAGTTCAGCAGAGTGAGATTTATAATTTTCAGGCAAAAGAAAAAAAAAACCTTATTTCTAACACGAGGAGGAAGTCTGAGTTTTAGATTTGCTGCAGCGACACAAGTCAGATCCATGTCAGCTGGGAGGTAGAGGAAGTTTCTGCTCAGTCCAAACGATCCGCCCTGCGTCCTGTTAGCTTTTGTTCAGGTGCAGTTTGTGGCCGAAGTACTCGGGCGCTGCGGCCAGCAGCCAGTCTGCATCCACCAAACACAGACCCTTCATGTAGCAGCGGGACGTGTGCAGCAGCTCGTTGAAGACCACGCAGGCCGGCTTGCACTGGAAGAGGACGGAGGACGGGTGGATGGCCACGGTCTGGTGGGAGTCCAGAGCCAGGTAGGTGCCGTCCGGTTGGAGCTCCGCGGCGTTGGTGAACATGCCGTGGGCGAGGCAGCGTCGAACGCTCCCCGTGTCGGCTCCGCACGACTCCAGCTTCAGGTTCAGCTGGAAATACAGAAAGTTTCAGCTACAGATGTGTCCAAACTAAGTGAAAACTGCTCAGGTAACGTGGTTAGCTTCAGGTAGCTAGACTGATCAGAGCACAAAGGTTTTCCTCATAAAACATTAAAACAACAAAGCTATGAACTAATCTTAAACCACTAGTCTACTATTTATTCATATAGAACAAGAAAAAGATTAAACCCCAGAAATCATCCAAGTTTTTCACTTGAAGGATTAGGAAGAAAGAAGAATTATACACGAGGAGTAGATTTTTTTAAAAACTTCTTCAAGCTCAAACAATGGGTAACACTATATACACCTAATAGCCTAAACAAGATTCTAACAACGAGCTGGAGAACTGATGGCTTCTTCCATCTGCACAATAAATCATCCAGATCATTTTCAATATCAAGATGTAACCCTTGAGGTGCGTCAGCTAGCTGCTGCCTGTAATGTCAAACTGACAGCAGTGTGATGGAGTATTACAGGCTGACAGGCTGTCAGACTGCTTGCTGCCATCACAGTGAAGTACAACCAAAGCTTTAGTGTCGTTTGTTTATTTAGAGCCAGCGCCAGCTAGCATGGATGTTAGCAAGTCATCAGAGCAACCTTGTGCAAGCAGCAATATATAAGTATATCATATTATAATTATAATGTATATTATTATTATATATAATATATAATACATTTATGTATCGGCCTTCAAAAACCTGTATCAGTAGATGTCTAATTGCATGCAGTGTCCGAAAAAAAAGAGGTTAACACAGAAAAGTACAGCAAACCTCTGCTTCCAGGTGTTTCCTGTTTTTACTCCCTGGCCTGGAAGCAATCAGACTGATGACTGCTTGTTTGAATTATTTTTATTTATTTTACTTTAAAATGTGACCAGCATTACACAGCTGGTTTAAAGATGTTACATAATTTAAATTCAATAATAATAACAAAAATTGACATCATTTATTTTAATTGTATTTTTGGTGTGTTTGTGACAACAGTATTTTAAGAGCGTGCCTTTTTAAGACCCTCAAGATGGTGTTTAAATAATGTCAGTAATGTTTTACAATAACACTAAAGTACTGTCATATTTTTGAGTTTCATGTCGTCTTTTAAAATTTTTAACAAAAACACAGCAATGTAGCAAGTTGTTTGGGGGAAACCCTGCACTAGACTTGTTTTCAACCCACTCAAACACACACCTGTTAGCTTGTAAATCCATTAAACCAGGGGGTCAAACTCATTTTCACCAAGGACCATGTGAACGTTATGGTGGCTCTCAAAAGGCCAGTTCTAATTAACTTTGACGTTTCATGTTCAACTAAACACRTTCCTCGTYTCATTGCTATGACTGCGCACCGCTAATAATAGCTGAGCTCTACGTGGTGTTTCCTGCATAGAAACAGCGTTTTAACACGTCCTCTTATAAACACTYGAGGGCATTATGGGAAATRTAGTTAATGGCAATGCTGGTTTTAAGGCAGGCTGTGCTATCAAACAAAATTGCAGCTCTAGGGTAGGACAGGTGTTATTTTCTTTCACCTTTTAAATTTGTTTATTTGAAAGTTTACCACTGAAACTGTTGTCCTTTAAATTGAGGTGGTTTAATTTGTGATTTACTACAGAAATAATGTTAGTCATTGCTAACTTTTACACAGAACTGGTTAAAAAAATGGCCAAACAGTCATTATTTAACTTGTCATTTTTACAGTCTATAGAGAAACTAGCAGGTTTGTACCTTCAGGCAGATTTCTCGGAGTTGAGCCTGAACTTCTTTGGCCAGACTCATGTTCCTGCTGTTGACAAAGTTTGCTCGACACCACTCCTTCAACAAACACAAATTTGACATATTTAAAACGATTAAGAAGCAGCTTTTTTTTTGTTTTCTTTCAGAGCCTTTTGTTTCCACATCATACCAACCTTGTTACCGCTGACTTTCTTGAAAGCTCTGTACGTGTTGAGCAGGGTCATGTGGTCTCCTTCACTAGACGTGAACTTCTTGCGAGCGGCGAGCACCTCGTCCCAGCGGGCCGGAGGGTTGTACAGCACACTGTCCACCGACAGCAGCGACACGATGCTCAAGATCTCCTCAGAACAAGAATAATCTGGAGACAGCAGGATGGTCTGGGGCACACAGTAAACGAGACGTTTATTGTCGGGCTGCRCCCATCTTTAAAAAGCCTGACCTGCCATCATGTTGGCTGATAYTGATTTTTTAATTAGCCTACACTGTCAGGTGTTATAAAGTCACAATACACCTTCAATGTTCCAATGTTAATTTGTTGGAAAACACTAAACAATACCCTTGAAACAATACAAACTTGTTTCAACTGGACATTAGGTWGTGCTCTGAAATATAAATGAAAAGTTTAGAGCATTGCTGTTCAGACTATTAAATTAATAGTAGGGCTGGGTAAAAAAAAAATCTATTTAAATCGATCTGGGATCGATTTCATTTAAATTTGTGAAAATCGATTCACAGAGATCGATTCTTCCCCATGGCATCTTGTGCGCACGTCTGAAACGTGTGTCTATATTTTGTCACTCCTGGCCTGCTATATGCTTACATCCAGTTGACGTTCAGCGCTAACATTAGCTTTCGATAACAAGTTGTCTGGATCAAAACAAAAGAAACTAAGGAATCACTAACATTACCAGCCGACTCTCAGCAGAACTTAAAGACAACAGAGACCAYGATGACTTTTGTTTGCAAAGATTTGTGCTCCTATGTGGTAAAGAAAACAAAGCAGAYGAGTGGCTCGTTAGGCGCTCGAACCAAACTACAGTATGAAAACATCTGACTGAAACTGTTCTCCACCGACATGATTAAATGTGTTAAAGCTGACATTCTAACAAAATCGTTTAGTTTTGGTACCAATATTACTATTTTTAAACTTTAAGAAACATCTTAATGAAATCCACAGTGATGAAATGTTGTAGTTGTATTATTTGTTTTAATATAAGTAATAAATTTCAATAAGTTATATTGAACATAACAGAAGGTAACAGAAACATTACAAATATACAGTTTTTATACAGGAGTGGACAGAAGTATATTTATATTAGCCCACCTCTTCTCCTGCAGCCTTATTCCATCACTTCTTATTTATCAAGAAAATTAATTTCTTAAAAATTAATTCCTCCAACAACACTGTCACCTGCAATTCCTTTTTAATTTAAGACCTTTTAAACTTGTGACAGTTCCCTTCAAGATTAAACTGTTTAATATAAAAGTTTGTCCTTATGGTGAAGAGAAAAAATAGTGATATTGCATTTTGCAACAATTCGTTAAAGAGCAAATCGAATCAAATCGTGATTGATCGATTCAGAACCTTATGAATCCAAATCAAATCGATGTAGAGTATTGGCCATGATACCCAGCCCTAATTAATAAGGCCGTGTATTGGCAAGAAATGGTGATGATTCATAACATGACACAGGGGTTTAGGTTTCCTTGTATTGCAAAAAAAAAGCCCAAATTTGGACTTTTTTTAAATGTAAAAACAATCTAAATTATAACCTGCAAAAGCTTCCTAAAAGTCKAACATTTTACAAAACAAAGTGCAGCATGTGTAACATTTTAAAAAGTGAAAATGTAATAAGAATCAAGTCCGCCCTCGTTCACAGCAGAACAAGGGACAGTGGTTGATTTTCATACCTTTGCAGAGGAAGATCAGATCAGTGGATAAAATCAGCTTCTTGTTTAAGTATCGGCTGATTTATCAAAACTACATTGAGCGGATGTAAACAAAYGGTACCTTGGAAAATCTAGGCTCAAGAGGGAAACTGGCCATCTTCTTCCCCAGAGAGGTGAGGAGAACCTGCTCCTCCTTCTTCTCCACAGCTCCCAGCAGCTCCAGCTGCTTCACCGCAGCACGCACAGCCTCTGGGATCAACAGAACACAGTCACCCCTAACACATCCACCTGAGAGGCAGACTGGTGTGTGATCAGCAGCGCCTTACCTGGAGAAGGTTTGGACATGAAATCAAAGTTCATCACATCTGGAATCCCAAGTGCCATGAGCTGCAGCATCACAGCAGCCAGGTTACACCTGCAGGACCAACAGGAGAACATTTACTCAGCCGCTCCGACCGGAACACCTCAGGACTCTGGGTCCTACCTCTGGATCTCCGGTACGGTCATGGGGATGAGGCTGTCGAACTCCTGCTCGGTGTAGAGACGGTAGCAGAAGCCGGAGTCCTCCCTGCCGGCCCGACCCGCTCGCTGCCACGCCTGGGCCTTAGAGACTCGCTGCACCGCCAGCACCTCCAACCCGCTGTCTGAGAACCACACGAGGACCGTCAGTGAGGGGTCCTCACAGTCAACCGATTTGTTTAAAGGTTAGAATAAAGGTTTGGTTATAAGGTTCGCTCATTTACTGACAATCATGTTTAGATGCTTCGCAGATATGAAGGATTCTGAGTTTATTTTTAAATATCAATGTAATTTTATTTATATTAATCATGACAAAGTGAGATTTATGACAGGAAGTACAGCAGGTCGAGATAATTCAGATGCAACCATCTGAATCGTATTCAAATCAAATTATGAGGTGATCAGTAGGGGTGCAACGATACAGAAAATTCATAATTTGGATTGGTTCAATACTTTAGTTTCACGGTTTGATATTTTTTCGATTCAAAAAAGAGAAATTTCCATGCCCTTCATAATTAATTTAAATAAATTACAAGTTAAGAACATTTATTTAACCTCAAAAGTACAGTTTTTAAACTAAATGTTGCTGAAACAGCAAAATTCTCGGTAGATCTGCACTCAAAAATGCAGCCTAGGTGGAGTAGTCGAACGCAGATCCACTGATCCTTCAACACAGAGCATCTTCAGAAGACAAGTTGATAAAATAAGTTTAAAAATCTGTATTGTTCGATACATAGTGTGTATTGAACAGTTCGATACGGGTACATGTATTGTTGCACACCTAGTGATCAGATCAGGGTATTTAGTTTGAGCAGTTTATCCAGCTTTGGGTCTGTGCCCATCTAAAGAGTCGCAACATATATTTACAGTTCTGAAAAGAAGCATTCAGKTCACCAACTGCTTTATTGAAATAAAGTGAGTGTCTGGACTGAAACATCACCAGGATTGAAACGTTTGGCCTTCACCATCCCCGTGTCGATGACGTATTTGATCCCAGAGATCGTGACTGATGTCTCAGCGATGTTGGTGGCGAGTATGACCTTCCTACAGCCCTAAACAACCACAAAAGAGACAATAATAAATAAAATAAAAAACACTAAAGAAGTATAAAGTTTAGTTCCAGCCTGTTGCGTTTACCTTTGGTGCTGGCTGGAAGACCCTGAGCTGCAGGGCTGGGGGCAGCGCTGCGTACAATGTGGTGACGACCATTGGACCGCAGCCGTCAGGAAGGTGCTTGGCGATGTCTCGGCACGTCCTCGCCAGAGCCTCGATCTCCTCTTGTCCCGTCATGAACACCAAGATGTCATGAGATGGTGGAGCCTCCTGATTTAATGCAACAGCAGGTCAGAAGAAATAAACATTTTTGACACAGCTCATCATCCCACAGCAGCAAGGAACAACTAGAGAAATTACTTCTTCTGCCAACAAGTAGTTGAAACATGAAATGTCTTGTTGAAGCTAAATGAAGCAGAAGAACTGAAAACAAAAAGGAGCAAAAGGCTGGCTGAACTGTTACAAGGATAACTAAAAGTTAAAGTAACAAACAGCCACAGTTGTAAAGTACCAGTAACTAAGTGCAAATACTTTGTTACTCTACTTAAGTAGATTTTTGGGGTATCTGTACTTTACTTAATGATTTTTCAGCCCACTTTTTATTTCTACTTCTTACATTTTCCCACATTTATCTGTACTTTTTACTCCTTACATTTGTTAAAAATGCAAGACCCGCTGTATCTTGACTGTGCGAAGTGAAAAGTGACACAATAAGAGAAAATCACTGCAAAACATTTATGATGATTAATTAACATTTCTGTTTTATAATCAGTTCTGAACCTTCTGTTTGTCCAGATAAATGAAAGATTTTCTCAGGAAAAATCCACAATTATATTACTGTGATCAAAGTAAAATAAAAACAGTGATTTACATAAAAACACAATGAAAACATTGTAATCAGATTCTCTGTGATTTTTTTATACCATTATAAATCTTTAAGGCACAATAAAAGAAAAGAAGTGGTTCCACTTTTCCTGTGACAGKCATTATCATGATTTAACAAATGCATAAACATTCTTAATTAAACAACAAATGAATCACGAACAGAAGGGATTGTTCTGTCCATTATCTGATTAAGAGAACTGAGGTGTTCTCTTCCATGGTTAGAATGACCTGTCATGGCCTAAATAGAGTTCAGTTTGTGACAGAGTTCCTGTCCTCTCGTCAGGACTGTCCGAGGCAGTAAATCTCATTTCTTCACTCGAGGTGACCCCTACATATAATATAATATAATACAATATAATATAATATGATATGATATAATATAACATA